GGTGGTTTCTCTCAAGAGTGTCAAATAAAACATCAGTGCATGAGATTCTAGGTGCTCACTGAGTTAATGGTGCTTCCTATTTCCCTTGGGAGTTTAGAGCTCATCCTTTTCTCTTTGCAAAGAAACGTGGTTGACTGGGTGAATTTAGTTCTTCCAGTTTTGCCCTGAGACTGCTCTGAACTTGTCCTGGTGGAGTGTGTCTGCTGAGAAAAGCTGGTCTCCTGCTTGACAGACAAAATGTTCTTCCAGCTGGACCTTCTGGAGTGTGTGTCACTGTTCTGCCAGGGCAGTGCAGCCCGAGCCGTGACTGTGGTGGTGCAGGAGCTGCTCCAAGCAGAGCTGGTGCTGCAGTCAGAGCTGCTGGGTTGAGTTTCACAAAGTGAAGCTGGTGTTGCCTTCCCAGTGCTCCAGCATGGGCTGTTGGCAGCTCTGGTTTGCTCCCCTGCCCTGGGGATAACCCAGCCTGCCCTCTTTGGCCATGGCCATGGCTGACTAGATTAGATGGAGAGGGAAGAGCTGCCAGGCAAGTTGTATCACAAGAGTCAAGTTATTTCATTTGTTTCTCTGCATATATGTTACATTTGGTCCTTTTTCATCCTTTGACCTTGGATCCTTTACAGGTTCTTTACATTAAACTAACAATGGATGAAAGGAAAGTGAGCCTGGGAGGAGGGAAGTGTGTTGTTTGGAGTCTGAGCAGGTTGAAGCATGAGCTGCAGATGTGATTCTCATGTCCCCGAGCCTGCCTGCATGCTACGCCCCATTGCATTGCAAGGTTGAAGTTTCTTGTAATAGCAAAATATGGTCTTGAAAAAAACTGGCTGCAAAGACTTTATTTGTTTAAACAAAGGCTTTGTGATTCCAGAATTCTCTCCCCTTTCATATGCTATAAACCACCTCCTCCACCTCCCTTCTGAAACACAAATTTTGGAGCAATTCATCAAGAAAAAGAGAGACAGAGCCTTGATCCCTTGACTTCAGTTGAGCTGTGCAATTTATATCTACTGAGCATCTGGCTGTAGGGAAACCAAAAGCTCTTTTAATATTCTGCAGAGACTCTGGGTGTACAAATGAGTGTGGGCTGTCAAAGCTGAGAAATGGGGCAGAGGTGCCAAGAGGTTTCTTTGCCTTTTCACACAAAACTGACCTGTGGCCCCATGGTGAAAGCTGGGCTGGTTCTTCTTTTACTGCCCCCAGTGCCACTGTGATAACTGTGCTGAAATCATCAGAGCCCTGCTGGTATCAAGCTTTTACCACACTGCTCTCGTTAGGATTTAAGTGAGGAGTTTGAAGACTTGTGGGGCTTTCAGGCTTGAGAAGGGGAACTGTGCAAGTATTTAATAATGAAATTATGCAAAGGAGTTAACAAAGCAGGAGTGCCAGGTTAACAAGGTACCCAGAGTCATCATTCACTGCTTTAGGTCACTCACAGGGGTGTATCCAGACTGGAAGCTCAGGCACACATCTGATGTCTGTTGGCAAAGTTGCGGCACTGGAGGCTCATCTCTAATCAAAGATGGGTTGAACATATCGATCTTTGTGTCAGGGTTAAGGGGGTCACAGCTGGTACAGAGTACCTGGGTTGTTATTTTCCAGCATGTGAAGTCTTCCACGTCTCCTCTGCAATAGAATTTTCCATCCTTCCAGTTGCATTCCACTTGAAAGGAGGAATGGGAAGGGAAGAGATGTGCTGGGACAGTAACTGTGAGACATTGTGGAGACAGACTGGCTGTCACAGGATATGCTGGTACTGTCTCATGTTCATTATCTCACTTATTTATCCTCCCTGCTGGAATATTTCTAAAACAAATCCTACCATGTGTTTTGAGGTTGGGATTCATAGAGTGAAATCACAACTCCTTTCTCAGAGTTTAGCTGGAAAAATACAAATCTGCCAACTAGGAGTAGAAGGGAAATAAACTGTGGTTCTGTGTAGCAACAAGTGATGGATATCTGCAGATATGGAAAACGTCTGCTCTGCAGTCCCAGGTCAGAGAGTGTGTGCATTTGCCCCACTGTTATATTTGTTCCATGAGAAATAATGATGTGAGATTCTTAAGCTCTTTTTAATAACACAGATTGCTTTCACCCTGATCAGAAAATTCAGCTTCACAGTCCCAGGCCTTGGAACCACGAGCCATCAAGACACTAAATACTTCAGTGCAGCGTGGTTAAGGAAGATATTTATTAGCTTGATTTGTCACCACCATTCTCAGGCTCTCTGCAAGGACAGATGTGGACCCCAGACCCTGAACAGTGTGGTCCCTGGTGTGTTGTGAGGGAGCTTTGAATGGAGTGTCTGACACTGCAGCCCTGAGCATTCATCTCTGCCTTTGAAAGCCTTGTCTGCCTGTTGGTCAGATAAATAAATGTCACATGGATTTGTTGGCAGGACTCTTGCCTTAGTAAGATCTTCTGCATTAGGAATATCCACTTCTGGGATTATTTAAATGTCTTTTGGGCCCAGTCTAAGTACCTTGGGTGTGGATCTGGGTTTCCAGGCATTTCACAACAGAAAGGATCAGAGATCAAATCCAGCTTGAACTGAAGTAGTTCTCTTTCTGACCCAGGCTGTGTTTTCTGCCTGTTTCAACACCCCTGACATGAAGATCATATTAGTACAAATATCACATGCAACAACACTGCTGGTTTATCTCCTCTTCTGTCACTTTGCCCATTTATATCAAACCTTTCCTGTTGCAAATGCACCTGAGAGGGCTCTTTGAGACACTCTTCAAGAGCAGAGAGAGCTGCTGGACTGGTGCTGTCCCTGAACCCTGTCCTTGCCCTGGGGAGCTGGTTGGTTCCCCTCTGCACAGGGGTGGTAAAAACCCTTTTTTAATGAGCTGAGCTCTCCAGAGGGACCTTAAGTGGTCAGTCCATCTCAGAGATGCAGGGATGGTTTTCAGACAGTTCAAGTCAGTCTCTCTAAACCTGTGGGAGTTACTAATATGTGCACGCCAGCAGAAGGGAGAATAGGACTCTGTTTTATTTGCTCTGTAACACATCTGATGCATCTTTTGGCTCCTGAGAGCAGTGAATTTATTCAGTCTTATCTTTCTGTGGGGATGAGCAAGATCAAAAGCCTGAAGCCAGTTACATACAGAAACTAAATCCCTGTTTCACACACCACAAGCAGATCCAGACCAAACAAGCCTCACCCATTTCCTTCCCCGCAGGACAGTGCATTTATGGCACTTGCATGTTCATGGGTTAATTCAAGCCAAAAAATATTGCCCAGGATCTATTGTAGAAAACAAAAATGAACAAAAATAAAAACAAAAATAAAGAAATGGTATTTGTTATTTGCTGTTGGGTAAAAGAAAGTCCGTATCAGTATCAACCTGTGAGGAAATCCTTCCATCTGAGTGTTCCTCAAGCATCAGATGCTTTGTCTGCAAAATCTTGTGTATTATGAGGTGGAATATCTATGTCTGGCTCCTTTGGGAAGCTACACAGCTCCTCATAGAGGGCCAGCGTGAGAATTCCTTTGGAAAGTGGATGTAGGGGGTTGCTGTTAGCACTCAAACAATCTTTTTAGCCTGTAAATCACCAGGGTGGAACAGCCCAGCTTCCTGTTCTTCCAAGCCATGCACTCAAGTCTTTGTGTGGCTGAGAGTCACCAGGGCATGCAGTGTGCTCCACAAAGCCAGCAAGAGACTGGAGGGGTCCCCTGGGGGACCTTGTGCAACAGGAGACAGGACTTGTTAGGGGAGAACAGCTGGACCCAAGTGTTGGGGTGTTCACTCAGACCAAAATCCACCTTCACCCATTCCTCGCCATAGGGAAGCTTTGGGCTCCCCAAGATCCTCTGCATCACTGCAGCCTCAGCTGCTCCTGAGCAGTCTGTTAGGGGCTCAAGAACTACAGGTCAACATTCCCAGCCCTGTGGGAACACCAGAGTTAAATACTTCCATGGCCAATCAATGACAACAGGCTCTGGCCCTTAAGGAGCACAAAGTGCACACAGAGATGGATTTCTCCACCATGGGGTATGAGCTGTGATTCATCACCTGAATATGGATGGTTTGTCCTCTGAAATGCTTCATGCTGCAGATCATTTTCCCTTTTTGAGAACTGCTGGGCTTCAGAAGCCATGTGAGGTGAGAGGTCCAGTGTTGAAAGTTTCTCTGAGAGCTGGGAGTGGGCAGTTCCACTCTGCTGCAAAGTGCCTTGTTGATTAAATCTCTGTTCAGGGCTTTATCCTCCTTCACTCACTTTAAAATTGCTGAGATGAAACCAGAGGCAAAGCAGCAGGCCTTCTGTTTAGATAAGGAATGTCCTTTGGAGGGAGCAATCACTTTAACCTGCACTCAGAGCTCATTCTGGCAATGTTTGTTCTCGCTGAGGCCTCTTGTCAGGACTCCTTTGGTGGCTGCCGAGTGTCTGCTGCTCCTCTGCAGCAAAGTGGGATGGAAACCACTTCATGCTGCAGTTCTGGGCTGCATCAGCCCTCAGATCTGCCTTGGATTTCCTGGGATGGATGCTTGTCTGGGAGTGGTAACATGGCCTGGGAGGCCAGGGATGGAGCAGGACTCCACACAAATGGCATTTGTGTATTCATTGCTTTCCTTGGTATTTTATCAGGAAAATAGTAGAGGAGAGAGAATTAAATGGAGATTGTGCAGCCTGGTGTCCTGTGAGGTGGAAGCAGGTGCCATGCCAGCCTGCACCAGTGGCAGCACAAGTGTCTCTGCCTATGACAGCAGGGCATGCTGGTTGGCAGCATGAAAAGTCTTAAAACAAATTTTTATTTCATCTGCCTTCTGCATATTGGGAACTTAATTTCACACTTTGCCCCACTAAACATCCCCAAACAAGGTTCATGTAACGTGGCTGTGGCTGGTGACCTGTGCAGCAGATTTGAATATTTTTTTTCCCCCATAACTGATCTTGACCCACTTTTCCATGTGCCTTGGATCAAAGGGATCAGCCTGAAGCTGTGGATGGACATGCAGAGCCCCTGGCAGTGTCACAGTACTGTGTTTTGTTCTCTCTAGAATGCATGAACTGCACCAGGCTCGCTGATATGACCGAGAGGCTGAACACGCTGGAGGCCAAGGTAAGGAGCTGCCTTTATTCTCCTCTTTGACCAAAATTTCCAAAAGTTTCTGGTGAAAAATGTGTTGAGTTGGCAGGCCTGGAGAGATCAGGTGCCTCTTCTCTCCGTGGCAGTGGTTCTGCCCCAGAAAATCAGACATTCTTTGCCTCTAGCCCTGCTCCTTCCCTTCCCCTTCCCATGTGGCTGCATCCCTGCCTCAGTCCTGCTCCTCCAAAACAAAGCTCAGAGCTCAGAAATACCATGCCATGTGTTGCCATCATGTTTATTTGTCACTGTTTGCCTGTCACACCTGCCCTCCCTCTTCTCTGCTGTATTTCTTCAAGTGCAATCCAGTCCTGATTTTTTATCCCTTTTCTGAAGGATGGGAGGTTCTCATAGTTTAGTGGAGACAAGTATTAGAGGGAGACCTTCACATTGTGGAGGTTTTTTGTTTTCCTACAAATAGTTTTAATTTCTACCTACTGGGATTCAGATAAATGGTTCCAGCCTAGCAACAAAGCAGCTGAGTCAGCATTCCCCTTTGATCTGTGGTCCCTCCTGTGACAGCCCACTCCTTGCTGTTACTTATCATGCTTTGGTCCCTTTAAGGCATTTACTGCTGTTATTATTCATTAACTGATGCTTATCAATGACATAAAAGAATTTAGGGAGAAACCTTTGTGGAGGGAGGTGGTGGTTGTGTGGTGTTTTTGAGGCCAGTACATGATATTATGGTAATTTGGGAATTGTTTGTGCTGAAATGAAGTCTGGAGCCTCCTCAAAGCCTTCGCAGCTATATTTCACTGCAGGAAAATGAAGGGGTGGGGGGAATGAAATTCTGGGGGCAAGATTGTTCGAGTGGAAACAACTGGTGTAGTGCAAAGGACAAAAGGGAGCTGGGTTTGAGCAGTAGGGGCAGGGCAGGAGAGAGGGGCTGGTGAGTGATCCCTGTGTGTGCATCCTGAATCCAAGAAAGACACAGGCCTGGCCTCAGAGAGATGTGAATCAGCCCTTCCCTCCCAGGCTGTGGCCAGCTGTACCTTTCTTCGCCTTCCAGGATTGTCTCTGTCTGGCTCACTGGAAAAGGACAACCAGAGACTGTCCTGACATCACTCCTCGCTCTGCTGGCTTGTGCTGCTCAGCACTTGTGTGGGTAACAACGTGTAAGGACTGATGGCAGCCTCAGCTGGGGCCTGGCAGGATTTTGGGGAGAGGGAAGGAGGTTCCACCTGCCCAAATCCCTTCGGGAAGTCAGGCGGAGCGTGTCGTGTCTCTGATTTAGTGCTGCAGTCAGGCAGTTCGTGTTGCTGTGATGGTTTTCCTCCTGACTTCCCTCTGCTCCCACACAGACCCAAGCTGGGAGCAAGGTTCATCAAAGGGGTTTACTTTTACAGAAGAAAATGAGTTACTGCCTTCGTTTTTGAAGTACTAAAGACCATGTCTCTGCAAGGAGACCTTCTGCAGCACAGCCCAGCAAGGTCCTTATCAATCTTTTGGCTTCCACTCTGTTTGAAAAGCTGTGGATGCTTTGCAAAAATTGACTGTAGCAATGAAACAGAGAGTGAAGCAACAGTACACGACTGCTGGTGCTGTGCACAAGAGAAACATGCTGATTCCCCCTTTTTTTCAAGGTTAATTTAAGTTCAGTTTGATCTCTGTAGCAATCTAATGAACTCAGTTGTTATTATTCAACAATAGCCAGCATCATTTAAAAGGTGCTTATGTTTGTTTGGTGTTGTCTGCATTCCTGCTCTGGATTTTGGAGGAAGATCCCTGTTTTGCTGGATGATCTGGATGTGAAATTGTCTCTCAGCTGTCCATACTGTCTTCTTGTAATGTCTCATTTCACAACCACAACAACCTGAAGCTGTTTTGAGGAACACAGGAGGGATGGGATGGGCACACACATCTCTGCCAGTGCCAGAGGCTGTTTCCCACTGGATTTTTGCAGGTTTGTTCTGCAAAGGCAGATGTGGAATTTCATCTTCCCCACAAGCAGAGCTGGATTTTCATGCCACAGTCCTGCTCCCTCTGGAGGGAGGTGAAGTTGAGGTGCTTTGCTACTTTTGTTCTTTTGAATTTCAGCCCAGAGTGACCAAGGTGAGCCCAGGGGATGGCAGTGGACCAGCCTGAGATTTCTTCTTTCCCCACTCCTCTTCAGCTGTTACAGCAGCCCCCCTAAAAATGGGGATATAACCAGCAATGGTCTCATCTTTCTTATTACAAGGGTGAGCTGGTTCATCCAAATTGTAAGATCAGTGCCCAAATGAGGTAATAAAAGTAACCCTCTGTTTTTAGTAATATGAGAGTTGGATCAGAAGGTGAAAAGCAAAAATAAACACAGAGCAAATGAAATGAAAAATGACTCATGAGGGACCAGTGCTTTTATTGCCCTTGGGGAGGAGAGAGGCTGAGCCGTGGCTCAACTGCAGCAGAACCAGCTCTTCACGTGCCTCACACCTTCCTCAGTGCTATTCTAGGATGTCCTTGTGCCTGTAGGAGGTGTTTCTGCAGGGAGGGAGTGAAGGCAATGGAATCAGGCTCCATCCTCATCTGTTTCCAGCTACCACGTTGTCTCCCCAGGATGGAATTCATGTGCTCGACACCAGACCCAGAGTGCCAGAGTTCTGAAAGCTTGATTGATAGTGCTGAGCTCGAAATCCACAGAGCACAGGATCTCCATCAGGGAGGATGGTCACCATCCTGGGCTCCTGAACAAGAAATGGTGTGGACTGGAAGGAAACTACCCCCTCCCCAAGCCCCAGCATGCCAACCCTTCTTTCTCTCCTGTGACATCTTACTTTACACCCCCACAACACCTCTGACCCCATGGGAGCCTCATTGGTGGGACAGCAGAGCAAAACCTGCTTTTATTTCATAGCAAAGATTTCACTTGAGCCAGCACAACCCCTTAGTGGGATGTGTGTTCAGCCCTTCCTGAATTTCCTGAGCCTGCTGCTGCCCTCCTGTGTCACAGGACAGAGCCCAGACAAACCTCGGGAACCCACGGCAGAAAGAGAGGCTGGAAAGGAGGCAGAGCTGCAGGCAGCTGCACACAAATTTCTGCTTATTTTGCTCGCCCAGTTTCTCTAAGTAAGCACCACCACAGAGCTCTGGGCAGCACAATATTAATCCCAGGTTTGGGCTGGAGTTGGAGCACAGTGCTTGATCTGAGCTGATCTAAGCCAGCCTTATCTCCTGACACCGCTCTTACGAAGCTCGTGGCGTTTCACTCACAGCTTTAATGCCTGGAGATAGCATTACATATCCAGTGTCTGATTGATTCATTGTGTGATTGATAAATGACATGCATAGTTTTTGCATGAAAACAGTCCCTGTAATGTGATTCCCCACACAGAAGATTCTGAAAGGTTTTAAAGAAAATCTTCGTACGGTGCAAAGAATTTGATCGATTCATTGCTATTTTTCTGCAATCAGCCCATTTATTTAGGAGAGATTACCAACAGCACCTTCACTATCCATGTCTTTGGATGGTAAAGCATCATTACTTGGAGTTTTAATGTGATCATTGTATGAAATGTTTCTGTATTTCCCTCTTCTCCCGGGCAGTTACATGAAATACTGGCAGCTGTCTGGGATGTTTTATGGAGTTTGTCTTTCCTTTCTCTGATAGATAATAAAACAATTCCCTGCTGTAGGGAGAAATATTTGGAAGATAGCAAATGTTTCACGGTGCTGTGACATGGCAGAGAGATTGGGAGGGGAAGCAGGATTTCTTGGCTGTGAGGCTGCTGCTGACTCTGCAGTGTGGACATGAGCAGTTGCTTGATACTTCAAGGACTTCCATGGATTTTCCCTGTTCTGTATGGGATAGCCACAAGCAGGTATTTCCTTTCTCAACAGGAAGGTGTCTTACTTATTAATCCCTAAGGTTTCCTAATGGCTCTGTGCAGAATCTGTCCAGCTCCAGCAGTACATTGAATTTAAGGAGAATTTGGGCTGTTTCACAGGTAACCATATAGTAACTGGCTGGTTTCTGGTAGCAGCTACAATCTGGAATCAAGCCCTGTAAAATTTCTAATTTAACACTGAGTTTCTATAGGTTAGTTAAAGACTCAAATATCCCTAAGAATAAAATGCAACTTCCTAACTGATTCTTACAAGGAGGAACCATGACTCAAAACTGGGTGGGCAAACTGAATTTTGTGTAACTTTGCATCCATCTCTTGTTTTTTTTGATGATCTGCAGTAATCCTGATGATGAGGCAGTTTGGTTACTGACTCTTCTCTCATTTGGGCATCCTGCTGTCTTTCAGAATGATGCTTAAAATCCTTTCCTTCTCAAGCCTGGTAATTTTTAGACCTTATTTCATATCACTGTTGGATTGAAGGAGCAGTCTGTCCCCTAAGACTGTTCCATGTGTTTGGCCAATGTTGTAAATAGTTTGCCAGAACAACAAAAAGGCTGCAAAGGCCTCCTCATCCACCATTCCCTCCCACAAAGTCTTTTAGTTACAAGTTTGGCATTTTTAGTCAAATGAATTTAATATTTTCATAAAATAACTTTGCAAAATTCTCTTTTCCTGACACACAAGTTTGCCAAGCAAATCCCATGTCTGCATTAGGAGATACTTTTGGTGTGTTTAATACCTGGGAACACTGTTTACAAGCTTTGATTTTTTTAAGAGAAACATTTGTGGACAAACAGGTTTTGTCAAGGTGGGGGGGTGTGAGGAGCCCAAGGGATGTGCTCAGATCCTTTTGTAATTTGGTGTCCAAACATTTCCACTTGATTCCCATCAGAAATGCTATGGGAGCTTCATAAATAAAGTAAGATAAAAATTAATTCAGGTCCTTTTTCTTTCAACCTGCACCGAGGTGAGGCAGGAAAGGCCCAATCTCCTCATCTTTTCCCTTGTGCTGCTCTCTGCCAGCAGCTTTCAGAGCTCTGTGGAGGAGAAGAGCACACGAAACATCTGAGCCTGTTTGAGGTGGATCCCTGAGCTCAGGGCTCCTCACCTGGGAGGAAGCAGAGCTGATCCCAAAGGCATTGCTGGGATCTTGGTCAAGACTAAATTCACCTCAGGCTGGTTTAGGTTCACATCCCTGACACTCCTACATCCCCAGCAGGTCTCAGCAATACCTGGGGCAGAGGATTGAGGGGATTTTGAGGGTGCAAGGTTATAGCTCCCGTGTATTTTTATCAGATGTTTTAAAGACACAACGGTGAATCTGATTTCACTCTGAGCTCCTTTGTGTGCTTTGTGAACAGGGCATTGAAGGATTGCTGGATCCTCTCCACATCTGGCTCCTCAGGGTGCCAGCTGTGGCAGGGCCTCAGCAGCAGAATAAATCCCACTGGGAGCACATTCAGAGGAGCTCCCCGAGTGCCTCCCAGGACCACAGCCAATCCTTCCCTTCCAGCTGTTCTCTCAAGCAGAGCTTCAAGGGTCTGAGGAGCTGCTGAACAGTGTCAGTGTTTTGTCTGAATTCGGAGGGCAGCCTGGGCTTTTGTGTCTTCTCTGCCCTGATTCCCCCAGAAAGTGCCTGCTGAGGAAAGAGTTGCATTCTCCATCCTGTTTTTGGAAATCTTGTAGCAGTCTTAAGAACAAGAACTGTGCTACCTGACAGAAGCCTTTGGTCCATGTTTCTGTCTTCCCTGCATTATCTGATGACATCACTTCACTTTTGCTCTGCACTGAGTCACTGCAATGACATCAGCTAGTGCTCCCTCCTAATTTACCAATGCAACAAAAACTCCTCCTGTGCTAATTATCTTGTCCCTTTGGCCAAAGCCTCTCAGATGTTGTAAGTTTGAAGTCACCCAGGTTCTCTCTGGGGACCCAGCTCCTCAGATGTTGGCAGACACTTCCTGGATGTGTTTCGGCATTTGAAACCAAGCACTTGTGTCTGTGCTGGATCCTTGTGTTCACAGGTCCCTCATTGCTATGAGAGAGAGACCATTCCCCATCACATTTTGTTAAACTCCCTGTTTAGATCTTTCTTGATGAATGATTAAAAAACCCTTATATTGCCAAATAATTTGCTATGAAGAAAGATATGTTTAACAAGTTATGCAATTTAGCATTATTAATCAGCTTGTGTCTCCACAAGATCAAGGGAATCTTACTTTACACTGGAATTTTTAGCTGATGAGCTGGATTCATGCAGTGTCTTTTCCTCCTCTTTAGAGAGGGATGGAAGGGAGTTAATTCCACCGAAGCTTCAAGAGACCAAATATCCCTGTTTATTAATTAATAATATCCATCTGGATTTTTATCCAAATAAAAAGCATTCTGAGCCGTGTCATATCAACTTTGAAATCTTTGGAAGCCTGGCTGCTCTTCCCTTGTTTCTAACACCTACCTAGTTACAGGACATCAGGAATGTGAGTGGAGGACAGATGATGGGAGGAGGCTGCCTTTGTCAAAGCTTCTTTTGATGAGTGGGAACAACAAAAATAGGGTTCTGGAAAGCCACTACAAGCCAAAAAAAGTCCTTTGACACCAAACATCTCAAGAAGATGAAAACGGTCCTCCCGTTTCCAGTGTCCCTGGCCTGAGCTTTTGATCTGACGCAAGAAATGTGGTATTTGTCTGAAGTTGAGAAAGTTTATGCTGGCAAATGAGAAAGGAGGAGGTGGGTTGAGTAAGCTGGGACTGAGCTCCAGGCACACAACGCTCGTGTCCCCGCGGAGGGCCGGGAGCGGAGCGGGATCCGCAGCCAGGCTTGGAGCCCTGGGAATGGAGCAGGAGCCAGAGCCTGCCCTGGGAGCCACAGATGGTCCTGCAGGCAGCAGCCTCCGGCCAGGGCACGATGGATCCCGCGCTCCTGCGGCCGGCCCGGTTCCCGCGCGCTGTTGGCAGCAGAGGTGGCCCCGTTTCAGCCCCTTCCAACCTTCTGACCCAGCTCTGCTGTGTCTGAGCCGTGGGGTTTGGAGCCAGACACAAACCCTCGTGCTGCTGGGACCTCTCTTGCCAGAGGCTCCGGTTCAGCACGGCCATTTAGGCCGATTTGAGTTTTTCCTTTGGTTTGCGCAGAAGGACAAAAGTTTGAGTGTTTTGCTGACTTGAGGCCGTCCTTCAACTCTGACTGCACATTGCAAGGTGGGGAGGAAAGGGTTTTTCGTGTCCTGCATGGATCTGCTGTCCTGGCAGCACAGGCAGCAACCATTGTCCTCCTCTCTGCCTTCCCTGCCTGGGTGCTGAGTGACATCACCCGTGGCTGCAAGACCTATTTCATTTATCTGGTGGCATGAGGGTGTTTTCTGCCCCCATTCTTCATGGAAGCAGAACTTTTGTGTTGGAAATCGGGGCACTGCTTGCAATGAGGATTCCCTGTGAAAACCACACATTCTTCCCTTGATGTTATCCCTCTCTCTACCTCAACCCTATTGACTAGAAAATACCAAGATTTTAGTACTGAGACTTTAATACACTTCACATTTTGCTAATTTTCTTTCTGGCTGTGAGCCTCTGTGGTATCATTTTCCAGCAGTTTACTCAGAGGGCTCGAAACTTTCTTTTTTTTTATTTAATGAAAGTGGGAATTCTCCTCGAGTCCCCTGACTACAGCAACGGCAGCCTTAAGAAAAACAGAACGTGACAGAAAATGGATGAATGGCTCCAGTGCTATTGCAATAATGTGTAAGGAGCCCACTTGTGCTCTGTGCTGTGTGAGCTGTGAGAGGACACTCCTTGTTGAAAGAGCCATGTGTAGTTTGAGATTTTTGAATGTGACTAAATCCCTTGTGCTTCTCCTTCTTTAGTTTGGCTCTGTGGATCTCACGGATGTGAGAGCTCTCTTCTTTCTGCTTTATTTCTTTTGGGCATTTCTTCAGTTCTGATCATAAAAACTAGAATTTCTCAGCAATTTCAAGTCTGGAGACTTCCTGACCTCTATCATTTCGTGCCCAGGGAAAATAAACTTGTTACTATGGTTTGGGCCTTAATGACTGCAAAGTATATATAGTCAATTTATAACGGCGCATGCTGGATTATCCTGTGCATGGCTTTACAGCTTTTACAGCATTTATCAGCAGAGTGCTCATTTAAAACATGTTGTTTTAATGAAAATGATACTGTTGCCACTGTTTTGTGTTGATTATGTGGTAACACATTTTTATTATCACCCATAAAAATGATTTGGAGCCGTTCCACTCCAGATGCGACCTTCGGCAGAGCCGTGCTCGCGCCGCCCGCGAGGGCCACGGGCCCCTGTGGTTTGCTGGGCCCTGACCATGGCTGCAGTGATTTAATATCCCTGTTCCCACAGCTCTGCAGAACACTGTCCAAGACAGCCCCTGTGTGCCCCTTCCTCACAGCAGGAGCATCCCACCCCTGCCCTGCCTGCAGCCCCTCTAATTTGCCACCTCCAGGGTTACTCTGCCTCTCTGCCCGAGCACATTTTGGCAACATCCAGGTGTTTGCTGGGGAAGTAAAAGGATGATATAATAAATAAAATGAAGTGATTTAGAAAAGGTCTTCAGCTCACACTTGAGTCCCATGGCAATGGGAGTTAAGCACAGTTATGGTAAGGCACATGCTTAAGTGTTTGTTGAACTGATAACACGTTTCCTGGAAAGTCTGACAAATAAATCATTGGTAGGAGCACAGAGTGCAAAAGGCAGATGGAACTGATTCCCTCCTGCCTGGTATCAGTCAAACCTGGTGAAGAAAAGTATTGTGACCTTACTCCTTTTTGCTGTACTCAGAAAGCAGATCTGTAAATAAAGATCCTTGCAATAAAGGAGGAATTTTGCTTGTTTGCAGGAGTGAGATTCAGTTCCCTTGCACTTAACCCAGCTCCCAGTTTAATTAGTTTCTGATTCACCCCCATCAGGCCAGTACATTCTGCAGGAAGTTCATCATTTCTGGCACTGCTGCAGTACTGGCTCTCACCAGGCCTTGCAATAAAGAAGTGATAAACCTTGTAATAATTGTAAGTTAAAAACAAACAAGCGGAGCCAAGTCACTCTCATTTATAATTGCAGTGTGACTTCATTATATAAAGACAACACAGTATGTAAAGCTGCAACTTCTAGGGATTTAATGGAAAGTTTGAGCCATATTCCCTTTTATTTCCCTTATCCCTAAATTAGTATTGCATAGGTGGTTTTCAAACAGGAAAAGATGATGCTGTAACAAACCTCAGTGTTGCATGCCTTGAAAAATGTTCCCATGTTAGAGACCAACTCCCAGTTTCACAGAGGCTACCAGTGGGCAGGGAGCAGAGCCTGATGGACAGCCTGGATCATATGGGGAACGTGGGGTCACTTTGCCAAGGAGAGAAGGTTGTAAATGGCCTGAACACCTGGGTTTATTTGAAGGTTGTGTGTTTGCAAGGCCTAGAAGCAGCTGGGAGTTTTAATAATATCCTGTTGCTTCTAAGCAGAACTCCTTGAGTAAATAGCCTGAGTTTTGTTTTGTTTTGGTTTTGTTTTCTTCAAAGTTAAAGGACTTCAACTCTTTAAAAGCTTCACCTTCTCCATCATCTTTAATTTGGTTGGTATTTGTGCTTTTACAACCAGTACTTGTCCTCAGTTTGCCTGCAGGTACAGCCCTTCACCTCATCCCAGCTCTCGGTAATTTCAGATCTTCTGGGTTTGAGCACCAGGGAAATTGTGTGTCCCCAACAGCAGCTTCAGTCTCTGGTCTCGTGTTTCTCACCTGGGACACAATCCCACGTGAGGCTGAGTCCCTCTGGAGGCAGTGAAGTCCTGCCCAAGGAGGCACAATTAGCACAGCAGCTTCCTAGCTAATTGATCCTGATTTCCTAAAACCAATAAATCTTTTATGTCAAAATCCCATGGTCTGTGAGCAGAGTTATTCCCAGCCTCATCTGGCAAGAAGAGGAGTTTCAGGACCTCCTCAGGAATTGAGACCATGACTGAAACCATCCAGGTCACAGATCATGGAATATTCTGAGCTGGAAGGGACCCAGGAGGACCATCCAGTCCAACTCTTAAGTGAAGGGTCCACAACTCTGGGCTTGTGAGCACCTTGCTGTGAGACCCAGCTGACCTTGTCTGTGTTCCCCACGTTGGCCTGTGCAGATCCTGCTGCTGGAGGCTGCAGAGAGGAGCCCAGCCCTGGAGAACAACCTGCCCATCACCGGCACCACGGCCACGTGGTACGACGAGCTGCTGCCAGACGCCTTTCCCCTGCTGAACCCCGGCACTGTCCTGAGGAAAACCGTGGGATCTGGTGGTAAGCCTGGCCTGCTCTTCACCAAATCACCCATCCTACCTACACAATGCCTTTGGGGTAGCTAAAAAGCAGTCTGGGTCTGCTCTGTCCTTGGAAGGTGCAGAGGAGAGGGCTTGGGAGGTCTCTGCTCTTCCTTGAGTTCAGCCAGAGCAGAGCAGGGATGTCCAAGGAAGAAATGATGAAGCTGCATTTTGCCAGCTGTGGTGGCAGCTATTATTTCTGTTGGCACAAACATCTGCTGGGAGCTGAATTTGGGTCTGTTCAGGTTCTGTTAACCCCAGCAGGGCCACTCTGCCTGCCTGTGTGTTTTACTGGGCTTGATTTAAGTCCAAAGGTTGTGGATTTTGAGGCCTGGACACATCAAAACATTCCTGAGGAAACTCCAGAGAGCCATCAGGACACAGTGGGACAGTTCCCGACCTACTGAGCACCAAATGCAGCATTTCCTGGTCTGGGAGCAGTGCTGGGGGTAAAGGAATGGGCTGCACAGGTCATTCTTGGTTTTATTAGGACAAAAAACTTTCCCATGAATAGCAGCATCAATTGCAGTCTGCTTTATATTTTCTAAATTTGCCATAAACACAACAGGCTGTTTTATGATCCCTCTTGTGGCATGAAAAAAAAATACAAGGAAGTCTCCCTGTGAGCCCATTTGGCCAGACAGATCCCCATGCATTGAATTTTCTTGACCTTGGCATCTTTTTTCAAGATCCCTGCTCTCTGCTTCCAAAGCCCTGTCTGTCTGTTGCTTTGCTTGTTCCCAGAGCAGTTCTTTAGGGCCTAGTTTGCTTTTTTCTTCTTCTTTTTTTTTTTTTTTCTTTCTTTTCATTTTTTTCAGCCCAAGCAGTTTATTATGGCAGCCCTTCCTGACTGCAGCAGACTTGGAGCAACCAAAACAGTCCAGATGTCATTCCTGTTTATGATTTGACATGATGCCACAACATAGAGGGAGGTTCACTAACAATATGTTCTGCAAAGTATTCTCAGAACCAGAGCCACAGCTGCCAGGAACTGAATTAAAGCATTTCCCCCCATGTCCATTATATGCTCATTCTGCCCTTTCCATCTTGTTTATTTTTGCTGTGGCAGTGTCTCTGCACCTGCACTTTTGCTGCACCAAAGCCAGCCCAGCAAAATGCTGGTGGCTCTGGGCCTTCCATGCCAAGTCCTCTCCTCGTGGAGGCTCCTTACACCTGCTCATGTCCTGCTGGGCACAGAGCAGTGGCTGCCTCTCCCTCAGGCTTCTGGCAGTGCTGCCAAGCAGAGCAGATTCTCTGCAGCACTTTGAGCAGGCTCAGCACCTTCCCCCCCTGCAGCAAAGCCAGGTGGTCACCAGTGGTCACCTCCTAGAGCAGGTGGTGATGTCTGAGCTGTGTGTGAGCCTGTCGTGTCAGCCAGATTCCAGGCTGTGTGTGTGCTACCAGGTGTAGTCCTTGCTCACTGTTACCCTTTGTTTTTCTGGCCTTGATTGATTTAACCTGGTGTGGAATAATAACCGTGGCATAATAAAGGGATCAGGAATGCACTGGAGCGTTTTGAGCCAGGACAGTGTCTTTCAGCAATGAGAAATAATCAGTTCAGTTGCTCATTGTCACGTGGTTGCCTGCTGGAGCCCCTACTCAGCCTCTGTGGGCTTCAAATACTTGCTTTGCTAAAGAGCTGTGGGGATATTTTATGGATCTGGGTCCATATTTGGCCTCCTTCCCTCCCAACACCACTCTGTGTCCATGATTCAAAGCCAGCCAAAAAAACTCAGCATGGATTTTGGTGGACTGAAGGGAACTCCACACAATTTAGGATGGAGGGGAACTGCCCATTTTACATTTCAACACCGTGCTGTGACTTGTTGCTCAAAGCTGCCCCCAGGTTCTCTTACAGAGCTCTCAGGAGATCTTTCATCGTGTGGGATATTGGAGTAGGTGGAAGTCAAGCCTGAGTGTCCTGGGTGATTTGGGGCTGTGGAAAGCTCAGCCTCTGTCCCTCCCACCCCTTCCCCTGAGCCTTTTGTGAAACATTCCCTACTTTGCCCTGCTTCTGGGTGTTAAGCCAAAATAAATCCCAGCCCTACCCTGCATGCCACCAGGCTGGATGGACCAAGGGCAGGATGCTGGGGCCTGGCTCAAAGGTGGGTGGTATGGACAGGATGCTGTGAGTGCTGGAAGTGTTTCTGGATGACCCCATAGCTCTGGGCTGGCTGATGCCTCTCCAGGCTGAGGTCCAGGAAAACTTGCTACTGTTTATGAGGGTGGTTATTCCTTCTGTGAGTGACAGGGCTGAGGATAGACAATCATTTAAAAGCAATCAGTGCTGTTGAAACAGCTGCACCACTGGCCTTTCTGATCAGCTTGTTAATCAACAGAATACATTTTTCTGAGTATTAAGATAATATATATACTCTGGCTGAGCCAGTTGGCAGCAGGAGACCTAATTTTTCATATTTCTCTTTTTTTCTCCTATTCTTGTTTTTTCTTTCTTTTTTTTTTTTTTAACCTATTTTTTTAATCCTTCTTATACAGAAGCTAAAGGACACAGAGGTGCAGAGGAGCAGCTGATACCACAGGGTAAGTTCATAGTTTCTGCTATTTCTCTTTCACAGCACAAATCATTGTTATGCCCAGTCCTGTACTTACATCCCAAAAACCAGAAGGGTCCTGTGGCCAGGAACTCTTTGGAGCCTCACAGATGGAGAGGCTGAGTTTGTTCTTTGGGTTTTATCTGATCGTGGGCTGCTTGGTTGGAGAGGCCAAACACCACTTTTATCACCTCTGAGACATGAATTCCCAGCACATAAAGGATGGACAGCACTGTCTGATGGAGAGGCCAATCATGGAAGCACATGTGGCCAGAGCCAGCAGGGCTTGTCCTGAGCGATGGGAGAAAACTCTTCTCTAGCTGTTATTACCTGCCAGGGGCACCAGGAGCCTCTGGGGATGCTCAGGACATCACTTTCCAAAGCTCCAGGTAAACAGAGCAGCTCCTGTGCAGGGAAAACCCTGGGGAAGGAGGGGAGCAGATGGTGTGTTGCAGGTTAATGACAGAGCCAGGAAGAAAATCCAGGGCTCTGCACACCTGATTTGGTTTCCAGCAGTAAATTACTCACCCTCTGCTTTTTTAAAAAATATTTTTCCTGTGGTCTTTTGCTTCATATTGTTTGGAGGATAAACTCTTACCACAGGCTTCAACCCTCTGGAAGCAGTGCCACTGCAGCAGAACTGATTTAAGCCAGCTGAAGATTTGTTCTCCCCTCTTTTCCCTGAATCCTTCCCTCTTTCTTCCCCCTGCTGCACTTGTCTCTTTTAGGCTGGTAACACCATTTGTCACCAGCATGAACACTTGCCTGACACATTACCCAGTGCTGCTTCTCCCAGCCTTTCCTTCAGCACTTCCCCCTCCAGGGAAGGAAGTGCCAGTTTCTCTAAAGCTCTGCTGCAGCAGTGGGATTGAGGATGCTGCAGGAAATGATTGCTCATGGTCTGCAGGACTTCATGGGATTGAGTTATAAGGTTGGACTGAAGGATTGAGGGTAATTTACACAAGTGAGGGAATGTTCTGACCCACACAGTGAAATACATTACTGACATCCAGTTCCTGCAGAAATGGAAGGAATTAATGTCACTTTGGGATGAAAAAACTTGTGCACAGCCTGGAGCCCCTGTGAGATGAATGAACACAGGAGAAACCAGGGAAACATCATTGATACAGAACCTCTGGGTGATGTATACAGAACAAGTGGGAGACAGGCTTTGATTTTCTTTGGCAAATCTATTTTGTGTATTTTTGGTATGTTGGAATGGCCCTGGAGTTCATGTGTGTCTGGAGGAACCCAGCAAAGGACACCCAGACCCTGCCGAGAGCCGTTCAGGACTTGGGAAGGGAACAGTGTGCACCCAGCACATCCCAGCTGGAGGTGCACATCCTGCTGACTTTTGGGGAGGGCCTTGTGCATGGGGATGTGCTTTTTCCTTTCAGGATTGAAGGAAGAAGAGGAGAAGCAAGGTCCAGTCTGGCTTGTCTGGCCTACCTGTCAGACAGCGCCTGGCACCCTATCTGTGCCCTGCTGCACTTCTCCCTCTTTGCATCACTGAGTCCCTCTCCTCTGGTTTTGAGGTTGCTGAAGCCTTTCTGACCTCAGCAGTGTCCTAGCTTCCAGCTAATTTCCTTTCTGAACATTTTCAGGGATTCCAGGACAGGTTGGTCCCCCGGGCCCGGCTGGACCCACTGGGCTCCCAGGACCACCAGGGCCGAAAGGAGAGAAGGGACAGCCCGGTGAGAGGGGCCCGGCAGGGCCACCAGGTGAGTCCTGGAGAAGGGCAGTGCTGCTGTGACAGGAGATGTTTCACTTCATACAAATTGTCTGTGACAGCAGCTCAGGGAAGGCCAGACATGCAAGATTTGAGCATCTTCAATTGGTATCAAATCCATTCCAGCAAGTCCCCTGGCAGCTGGAGTCAGCCAGGAGCTCCCAGGGCAGACAACCACCTGCACGAGCAATGACAGACCCTGGGATTTCCTGTGGAGCTGGAGAGAGCCTGTCCCAGAAAGCTGCAGAGGAGGATCATGTTTCCCCATCCTGCTCAGGAGCTGTAAGAAAGAGCCTGTGACCTGTCAGCCTTTGGAGCAGAGCATTCCCTGTTTAACCCTCTCACTGGGTGCCTGTTTTAACTCCCTTTTTTCTCCACCATTTGTGTCAAGCTGTCAGATGCCAGGAAGTCAAACTAATGATGCTTTTGTATGTTAAGGGAAAAGGTTACGAGGCCATTCTTTCACAGAACACTCCATTCCTGAGCTAGGAGTCTTTCTTCATTCCCCAAATGTTCCTGAATGTTTTGATGAAGGCAATACTGTACAATAGGTGCCAGACCTCAGGCTCTGTGCTCTGTGTCCAAAAGGCTGTGCCTTGTGAGCCTGAGCTTGGGTAAGATTTAAAACCCTGAACATGCCTTAAATGTGAGAGCAGCCCTGAACACTTTTTGGCACTTTCTGGCAAGCTGTCAGTGGCCAAAGTCTGGCCAAGGATGTGTCTGCCTCTTTTGGTTTCTCAGTTTGCAACAAAACCTTGCAGCCCCACAGGACATGTGATCTGCCTGCTCCTGGACTGACTCTGCTTCCCTTGTGCTTCCCCAGCTTTCCTGGCAGGGAGGGGACACAGGTGTACCTGGAGGGAAAGAGGATTTGATTTCACACTTTGCTGCCTGTAGTTTCTCACTCAGGGAGAGGGGAGATTCCACTCTTTCAGCAATTGTGCTGCTCAAAGGCAGCACCTCTGAGCCAAGTCAAGCTCTCTCCTTTGCAGAGGAGGATGCTAAACAACAACAACAAAAAAAGAGGAAAATGGGGAAGGTGTTTCTATTTTCCTCACCCCTCTGATTCCCACAGCAGTAGTTCAGGACAGAAATCCTTTGTGTTCTTGTTGCCTTTTTACATGATAGCATTATTAGCACATCCCCAAAGGCATTAACACATCCTCTCCTGCCTCTGCACAGGGATGCTGGGACCTCAAGGACCAAGAGGACTTCCAGGAGAAACTGGGATCCCAGGTCCCCCAGGTCCTCCAGGGCCACCAGCCACCCCAAGCCTCCCTCTCACCTTCCAGCAAGGGGTTCTCTACTCACTCCAGCCCACAGCTGAAAAAGAAAGTAAGTTCCCTCCTCAATTCCCATGTTCTCCTGTGGCATCAGCAGAGTGGCAGGCACAGAGCAGCTCAGCTCTGCTTCCACCTCCCTGCCAGGCTCTGCCAGGCCCTGGGAGCAGCTGGACAATCTGCCTGCATTGTGTGGGTCTCTTGGAAATTCCTGTTCAAGATGGAACATCTTGAAAGCTACAGGGGGTTCACCTCTCCAAAATGAAGAACAACTTAAACTGTCAGTGAGAGCAGGGTTTGGAGGATTTTGTTCTCTGTGCCTGTTTTTTTTAGGTTCATCACAGCTCTGGGGAGGCAACTTGGTGTCCTGTAAGCTTCCATCAGGAGTGGCTGCTGGGAAGAGTCTCTGGTGAAATGACAGAGCATCACCTGAGAGATGAGGGCCAGAGGAATCCAGAGTGGCAGATTAGGTGCTGGTGCACCAAAGCTGCAGGGTTGGAGCCCTCTTGGTGCCACTGTTGTGGTGTTGGAGTGTCAGGGTTGCTCAGGAATCAGCAAAGACCAGAGATTCGCAGCTCTGGAATTGTAACAAGGATATCTGTTAAATGTGTCTCTTTCCCTGACCCTGCAGATGCTTCTTCCACCTGTGTTTCTGGTGCATCCACGTTACCCCACATGCACACAAAACAGAGAATTATGGACTGGAAAGTCCAGACTGACACTGTGATTTATCCCTTCCCTGTAACAGGAGGGCCAGGGTTTCTTTGTGCTTATGCTGATTTAAAAAATATAAAATTATATTTGAACAAATCAAATCAATTTGATTTGAAAAAGCTTTCTAGGAAAGGCACATCCTGCACTTGGATTGGAATGCTCTCAGATTTGGGCTTGATTCTCCTGGTCCAGCCCTGTGTGGCTGGCAGGTAATAATGAGGAAGCAGAGCTCAGCTGTCTCCTCTTGCTCTGGGAACTCCTGGAGCCCCAGCTCTGTCAGGTCTCCCATCTCCACTCCCCCAGACTTCAGCTGTGCCTCTTCCCCAGCTCTGCTGCTCCTGTCCAGCTTCAGAGCTCACTTCTCTTAGTTACAGCCAAGGATTACTAAGTCTCCCCATGTCTGACAGTTATCTCGAGCTCTCCCTTCCCTTCCACCCACTCTGCTCTCCAGACTCCTGTTCCCCCAAGTGAACAGATGTATTTTTAATTTAGGGAGAACTTTAACAGCTTGATTTTGTATTCAGTTACTTACGGTGTATGGGCAGGATGAATAACTGAGGTTCTAAACTAAGATTTTCACAAAATACACATCAACATGCTGCAGTCATCAGCCTGAAGAAAGAAGGTTTTTATTAGAGTTTCCTCACTCCTCTCAGGGTCACACCAAACGGGGCCATTCTTCCCTTTATTCCAGTGATCCCCAAGGATGGTTTGGGTGCTGCTGCTACCCCCTCCCTCCAACCACCCTTTGAATTAAACTCTTCCTTGTGAAGCAGTGGATAAATTTAAAAGTGAATACAGGCTTTGATTGCACAGCTTTCCCAGCTGATGTGTGAGAAGGGTGAACTCAGTATTGTGCCCAAATGGGAAGAGGATAAATGGTGGATAATTATTTCTATCATGTCTGCCAGCACTGGGCAGCCACATGGACTTGAGAGCAGTGAGGAGATGGTGACTGTTCCATTCACACCCCTGGGCATTCCTCCCTCCATGCCTGTGGATTTCCTGCTTTGCAGAAGGAGTAGCCCAAAACTTTATGACAGTTTTTCTTAATACAAACCCAGCTGCAAGTATAAGTTATCTGACAATGTTCTGGTAATACCAAGTCTATTTTCTTACTATTTTGCCTTTGTGTTGGCTGATTTTGCCTCCCACAGGCTGGTGGAAAGCTGATCCTCTGTCACCAGTAAAACTTAGCCTTGTAAATTCTGTTTAGATTTTTTAAAAGATGTATTTACTTGTTTTGAAAGGAGCACATCTGAAAACTATAAACACAAAATTCCAGCTGCCGACAGCAGAGGGAAGCATATTCCTGGTAATGGGAATGAGATGTGAGAGCTGTATCAGGTTATTATTGTACAGAGTTTGGTTCTGCCTGAACATGGTTAATGCCTGTGCCTTCATTAATTGCAACAAGTTCCTGTTGGCAATATTTATCCACAGGCAGAAGCCAGGAATGAGGAGACAAATATTTTCTCACAGTTTCCCTGTGCTGTGGTAAAAGAAATGGTCCCATTTTTCTCCCTCCAGATCAGGTAGCAGAAAAAATGAAGACGGGATTACTTCATTTCCATCCTGTCTCAACAAATCAAGGCTATAATGGGGGAATTTATCCCTTAGTCAGAAACCTCAGCCCTTGGCCAGAAGCTGAGCTGCTGTTCCCACTGCTGGGGCTGCTGCTGCTGGGATCTCTCACTTTCCCTGCCACTTAAAAATGAGTGATCAGGTACATGGTCTAGAGCCAGCTGAGACCTATTCCTTGTGCTAACACTGATGATTTCCAGGGAATAGTCAGAGAAAAGAATGTAAATCTCACTCTTGAGGGCTGTTTCCTTACATCTCAAAGCTCTGCAAAGGACACATGAAATAAAATTAACCTGTTTTCATAGAATCATCACTGTTAGAAAAGACCTCCAAGATCAAGTCCAGCCATCAACCCAGCACCACTAAACCATGTCCTCACATGCCACAGGCACGCATTTTTTAACACTTCCAGGGATGGTAACTCCACCACTCCCCTGAGCAGCCTGAGGAGGAGCAAGGAGAAACTGAGGCAGAGCATCTGTGTGTCCTGCATGTCAGTGGTGACAAGGGAGAGGGATTTGTGCAGTAAGGCCCTTCCCGAGGAAGGAGAACAGAGCAGAGGAAGTGAAGGGGGAGGAGGAAAGGAATTGAGGAAAGTGAATCCTTTCAAAGTGTGCCCTGAACTGCCTTTGCTGCTCTGCCTGGGCAGCTTTCACTGAGTCCTTCAGGGCATTCCTGGGCTGTTTCAGGGTGTTTCTGTTCCCTTCCAGGGAACATAGGTGCTCCTACCTGACCAGGTCACACTGGTTTCACTCTTCCTCTTGGCTTGGATAGGAGTTGGAAAGCTCCTGGAGCAAATTCAGTATCAAGATCTTCTCCAATGAAGCACTGTCTGCTGCTTTGGGGTATCCAGGAGCACTGAAACAGAATCCAGCTCTTGAGCCCAGCAGAGCCTGGGTCAGTGCAGGAGGTGACTGAGAGAGGAAGATTCCTGTTACCATTTGATGCAATTTTGTGGCTGCTCTAACAGTCTCCAGCTGCAGAGAGCCCCAGAATGTCCCTGTTTATAAGGAGATACAAGTTCTTCCTGCTGCTTTATGAGAATATGGAGGCAATCCCTTAAAAAATATATGAGGGTTGTGTTTTACCACACTTCAGTCCCATTTCATTCACAGTGTGTTTCATTGAGAGCTGATGCTGGAAGGAAACCAGGGTCTGAGTGAGTCCTGCCTGGCCAGGCAGCAGAGGAAGGAAGGTGCCCAGGAGCTGCTGAGCCCAGGGGTTGTTGATCAGAGCTCTCTTTTGTGTCACAATCATGGAATCACCTTTCATAAATAATGTTGAGTCAAATGTCAGGATGGGTGGATTTGTGAGAGTAACTCTGTCATCGTAATAATGTGCCATTTAACTGGAATGTTTTGTAACCCAAATCTTTATCCCTGACTTACCTCCAGCAGAAATTAAACCCTGGTTGTTTGCAGTCCATCCTCTGCCCCTCTCAGTGGATGTGCAGTTGATTTTGTTGATCACCTTAAAAACAAAAGGCTCTGTAACTGTTAATGCCTTCACTGCTGTTTGATGCTCATTTCCCAATTTCATCTTACTCCCAAGCTGTGATGGATTTTGACATGGTCAAATAAAACTCAAATTAATTGGATTACACACTTCACTGGGGTACCTTTCCTCCTGAACATGAAGAGTCTCAGTTGTTTTGTTTCAGGGCTGTGAGGAGGGGGAAGATGAATTGGTTTAGAAAGAGCAGACAAATAAATACCTGTTTGCATTCAGGCTTTAGGCACAAAATGTGGTCCTTAGAGGGATCTGGGTTGGATCTCGTGCTGTCCTGCTGCCAGGAAGGAATTGCAGAGGTATCCTGTCATCCTTGGCAGGCAAAGCCATTGCACAGTTTTCCCTGGGAGCTGCTTTCAAACAACTGGCTTGGAAGTTCTCTCTGTCATTGCCAACGCTCCAGAAGCTGGGAAGGCTTTGCAATGTGTCTGCTAAAATTTCTGGAGAGTTCACCTTCTGACCTTTGGGCTGGTCTCTGCAGAGTAAGCAAACACCCTTCTGACCTTCCTGGTGTCACTTGACATTTGCAGTGAGACATTCCCAGCCCTTTCCTGCACAGGGTTCCCCTAAATTTTACTGTGATGAGTTACAGGGATGGGTGGAAGGAAACATGAGTAAGCTTGAGGTCATGGGCAGGAGGAGGTGGACATTATTTCTGCATGGCAGCCTCCAGCTGTGGAAAATGTGGGATTTTCAGAGGGTTTGCCATCCTGGTGACCAGGAGCCAATATTTTCATCCAGGTTAAACAGGAAATTTCTTGGTCCTACAGCAGAGGGTCAGTGGACTGTAAGCCTTGGTGGCACCAGGGTGTGAGGTTCCCTTGCTTGTTTTGTGGCCTTGTTGTCTTGAATTTTTGCCCCAGATTTCCACAACTGTCCCAAAGTGTTGTAGGGTGCTCAAATAAAAGGTGCTGCCATACAGGTACCTCCCCAGACTGCAGGTGTGCCACAGGACAGCTGCAGAGGGAACACAGTTGTTGAATATGGTTTTGGCATCACAGTAAATACTGATGGTTGCTTTATTGGCTCCAGGCTGAGGGAAGGTGTGGACAGCTACAGGCTGCTGGGTTTTATTCTTTACTGGAGAGAACTAAGATGTGCAAAAGCACAAAACTCCTCCAATTCCTGCTGCTGGCTTCCCTGCTCCACTCCCATTTCTCTGCATTTCCCAGAGCTCAGTGAACCTGCTCAGTTGAACACCTAAAATAATCCTGAACGGCAGGAAAGTTTCCTGAGCACACGGAGGGGGCAGAGCACACCCATCCCTGGGCTCTCCTGCATCCTTACACCTCAGGGCACCCCCAGCAGCACCTGCCCAGGTGAGCTGGCTGGGCTGGGGGGCTGTGCTGCCAGGGGGGCTCAGCAGGACCCTGGTGCCAGGCAGGACAGAGCCCCACAGCCCTGTTACATGTGCCAGGCAGCCACCAGCCAGCTGGGACCTGGAGATGGAGGACTTGGGGTCAGTCATTCCAAGGCAGGATTATACAGGTGGATAAAACACCAGGGTTTTGGGAGAAAGGACAGCTTGCCTGGGGTTCTCTGGGGTGAGACGAGCAGCTGTGCAGGACGAGGGTCACAGCTCTTTGAGAGCAAAGGGCGAGTGCTCCAGGAGCCCAGACTGAGCATCCTGCAGCACTGCCGGCCCCTGGCCAGCAACGGGCGCCAGAGGATTTTGGGAAGAGATCCCGGCTGGGCTCGACACTGACTCTGCTCTGTGCCGCAGATGGAGAACCCCAGCTGGCCTCCACCGTCATCGACACCATCATGGCTGGACTGCCCGGACCGAGGGGAGCCCCGGGGCCCGCGGGGCCACCAGGTGACACCCAGGGATGGGATGGGAGGATGGGGAAGATGGGGAAGATGGGGAGGATGGGGAGGATGGGCAGAGCCTTCCTCATGGAGTGGGTGGTCAGTGGGTGCCTGCAGGGGAGGGAAGTTGTCCTTACTGGAAGGATTACAAGAAGTAACTGGGCTTTTTATCTATTGACGTTTCACCTTTGGCAGGACTCATCTTGAGAAAGGGGCTAATTAAAAGCTGTCTTTAAGAGTGGGTTATCCACTGATTCCTTCCTGAGAGCAGAGTTGTTCTCCCCCTGCTGCAAACCTGTCCTGATCTCCACCAAGCAGGGTCTGGTCTGACACTCGGTGATGTCTGTGAAGACTTTGGAGCCATTTGAGCTATTCCAGATTTTCACCAGTATAACTGCAATCAGAATCTGAGATGAAAATTCAGTGACAAGCCTTCTTTCTCTCTGTGCTGATGGGTGGCTTAAATGATAATATTCCTGCAAACATCAGCACTTCCCTGTATGATGCATATTTAGGAGTGAACTCCCATTAGTTGCAGAAAAGGCTTCTCCTTTCATTATGAGGGCCTTTCATTTATCCTTCAATTCCTTTATTCTTGGACTTAAGCATTTGTATGGTGCATTAATGATTGAGGCTGATTCAGCTGTACTTTGTGTATAATGTCCACATTGTTTCATCTCAAGGGTTGTGACAAGTAAAGCAGAGAGGAGTATTGCTAAGTTCAGGCTAAGCAAATATCCTGTCTCCCATCTGCAGGTATAATTTAACAGCTACTGTTGAGATATAATTATTTTTTCAAAAGGAATGAATCTGTTAAGTGACTGTGTGAGACAAGTTGACCCGTTTAGATGGTGTTTAACTCATCCTGGAAGCAGCACTCCCGTGGTACAGATTTTAAATTAATTTATTGCCACTGGAGTGAGTGAAGACCAAGAGACAGCTTTGCTTTGCCTCACTCAGCCTCTCCTGTCTCCATCTCCTTCACGTTCATCCTCAGCTTTCTGACACCCCAGAGAAACCAAGTGCAGCTGCCCTGGGGCTTCCCTTGCCACCTGAGATTGTTTCAGGAGCAGCACCTGCAGTGTCTTGCTCTCAAGCAGCTGTTCCATGGATCTCAAAAGTTTTCTCAGAAGTTGCATTTTTAAGGAATGGAAATGTGGACATTACTGGCATCTTTCCTTCCTCTTTTCACCATTTTTTCCCTCCCAGAGCTCCAACATCTCCCCTAGGGCATGGGGATGTATTGTGTCAGGATGTGGATATCCAGTAATCCAGTGTTTGGTGAAGGGTTCTCACTCATTGAGAGACTCAGCAGAACACGAAAGGAAGTAAATGCCTTGGAATTTAGGGTTCTTCCTTCTAAGCCTCCTTAAAATTGTTTCCAATTATGATTCCCACCAGGACCACCAGGTGCTTCAGGACCCAAAGGGCCCCCAGGACCCACTGGAGCCCCTGGATCACAAGTAAGGTGCTTTGGTGCTTTGGGGTGAAGGGCAGAGAGGGGTCAGGGGTGAAACATCATCTCACTGCACAAGGAGGGAGAGTAATCTTAGGTCTGCTGGTTTGCTCCCCATGAAATTCTGTGATTTAATTCCTTTTCCTTATTCTGGGTTGTGCTGAGAGGTTGAAATGGTTGTGTTTTCTAGAATTTCCCTTAATCATAACAACACATTGTGCTGCTGCTGTGTCAAAACATTTCACTGTGGCCTGAGTTGATGCAAAGGATCTGACATGGGCTTTACTAACACAGTGATAGAAAAACACTGCATTTCCTGTGGAACACATAAAAAGAACAAAAAATGCATCAATGGGAATTCACCAATTCACCAGAGTGAACGTGTTAAGCCTACTTTTTCAGACATAGCACTTTCTATTCAAGAAAAACATCACAAATTCCCATCAGTTTGATTATTTATTGATACAAACATTGTGGAGGGGGGAGATAATAATGGAGTGGGAAAAACTCATTCCAAAGAATTTATGGTAGAAGAAGAGCACAGTACTCACATGGATGGAAAAAGCTGGTTAAATGGAAAGAAGTGAAATCATGAATAGGAAACTGCCAAACTACTCCAAATTGTGGCTGACTGATACAAAGGGACTCAGTTTTGGGAAGAACCTTGCTTAATGTAGAGGTAAAGCAGCAGCATCAAATTTTTCCAAAGGAATCCCACATGACTGGAGAGCCCAGAGAAATACATCCCTTTATAAAGGGATGTAACTCAGATCTGAGAAGAGGAGGTGTGGAACTGAAAATAGAGAAGATTTTTCCTATGTGTTTATTAACCACTTTGAAGAAGCAATGGACAACAGGTTAGGGAAAGTTTGCCAGTGGAGCAGAATCCTTTCAATTAGGGAATGCTCTGGAGAACACTGAGAAACTCCAGATTGATACGAGCTCAGTGAGAGATTTGGCAGCCAAATGACAGATGCAGTTTAACATCATTAAATATAAGGTAATTCACCATTCATAAATAGATTCTGTAGCTGAGTCTGGCTTTTTGACACGCAGCACATGCTGCAAATCTTTTATTTTTGCAAGGTGGAATTCAGTGTTCTTGAGCATCACCACACACTGCTGAGAGCTGTCAGGAGCAGAGGATGCTTATGGACACCTGGGCTTTGTTCATGCTGCATGTTTGACACAGGGCCAGGCCTGCTCTGTGCCCTACCTCATTTGGCAGCCCCAGGGAACCTCCTAAACCAGGCCTGGGTCTCAGAATCCTTGGTGGGGAGCTCAGCTGAGCTGGTGGGGCTGGCTGCAGGCAGGGAGCAACGTGCTGCTGGTGGGCATTGCTGGCTCCCAGCTGAAACTGGGACAGGGCTCCTCGTTTGCACCCTTAAATCACATGTGTGCAACCTCCTTGGGCCACTTCACATGCACGGAGCTCCTCACAGCAATGCTCGTTTCTCTGGGCCAAGAAAAGCCATTTCTCTGGGTGCTGATGTGAGGATTTGGCCTGGAGGGGAGCTCCAGACTCTTTTGCAGCCTCCAAGACAACATGCAAATCACTTGAGGTGGAAAAAAGGCATCTTGTACGTGGTTGTGGGAAGAGGGGGAGCTGACAGGCTGAATATAAACAAACAATATTGTTCTCTCTTGGTCTGGTTAATAACTGTGGCTTCTCTGGGTGGATAAGTTAAGAATTTGGATCAATTTCTGCATAGCAGTTCAATTAGTAGAAATCTGGAGACTGCACCCTTCTTAGCTGTTGGTGACTGCTTTAAGATTTGTTCAACCCAGGGAGTTAAATTATTAGCAGAGATTGGGCTTAATTTGAAAATTGTTTATTAGGGTGAGTGAATAGCTTCAAAATAATTTCCACTACACAATCCAATTAATTTTCAGGTATGTGTGCTTGCTCCTGCCACCCACTGAGGCAATTAAGAAGTGGGGGGAAGCAGTGGGGATTTTTAAGTTAAACATACTACCTGTGTATTAATTTCTTCTTGGTAACTGAGAACAGGAACTGTCCTGTCATACTGGCCCCAAAAAAATGTCACATCAGGGGCCTGCAGTTGAAAGACCCAAATAGAGGGATCTGCAGAAAGTACAGGGCTCAGGATATCTGCAAACAGAGCTCCTGTTGTATTTGCTTGAGGGAAAAAAGAGAATCCAGCCCAATTGCTTGATGGGTGTATGAGGTTTTCAGGAGCTGAGGATCACTGGGAAATGTGTTCGCTACACCTAAACAAAGGTTGCACAGTAGAAATTAATTCCTTCTCATTCTGTATCTCTCCTAGGGCTTGCCAGGATCTCCAGGACAGCCTGGACCAAAAGGATCCAAAGGAGACCGAGGAGAGAGAGTAAGATTTTATATGCACAGAGAGATTCCCACAGCATTTGGGGGGTGAGGCCTCAGGAATTATGTACAACACAGGTCTCACAGATGCAGGGGGGCTACAGCCACCACCAGCTTTAAATTTTATTAATTAAATTTAAATTTAATTTTATGAAATTAAATTTAAGCAAAGTTTCTGGGGTTTCTGCAAGAACCAAGATGAGGGATTCCTGTACAGAGAAAGGGTTGAATTCCTTGCAAAGTCAGATGTTCCCTAAAGAGATTCAGGTAGCAAAGGCATGGTGTATAGAGGCTGTAGAGACCAACTTTCTTTCACCAGCCAAAGCTGTTTAGTGTGGAGTGTTTTGAGAAGTCTAACTGAATTCTTCCTTCTCTGGCACTAAGGCTTTAAAAACTCACCAGACTTTTCCTAAACCAAAGTTATTCCCCAGGTCAAATGATTTTCTTAACATATTTGGAATACTGCAGTCATGTTCTTAATGTTTATGTGCCTTAGTGGTCTGTCCAGTGCTGATAACTAAACTTAGAACAAAAAAGCTGTTTGAATGTTATTTTCAAACTGGTGAAGTTTAGGAACTACCAGAGAAATATCTAGCAAGGGTATAAATGTGTCAGATTCCCAGTCCAGCATTCAAGCATTGGGAACAGTCTGAAAGTGGCATTTGGGCCTTTGGCTGCTTCTGTTCAGCTTAATTGCCAGCAGGTCATGGTCTTTGAAATCTCTGGGTGAGTCAGGGAGCACAAAATCACCCTGGAGTGGGGTAGGTGGAAGAGGATCATTCAGCCCTTAGGTCTGTGAAATGCACTGTGGAGAATCACTGAGACCCCAGCGTGGAGAGAGTCAAAGGACGGGAGAAAGACAAGGAGGAAAACTTTGGTTGGTGCCTCTAAAGTGATGGATGTTTGCAGTGGAGGCCACAGCTCTGGGACACAAATTCCCTTTTCTCCCAAGGGCCATTTTACCCTTGTGTGGATGGAGGTGAATGGGGGCTGTAGGTGACGTGATTCCCCCGTGACAGAACCTCCTCTGCATTCCTGCTCCCCCTTCCAACCCAGCAGACAACAGGGATGCCTGAAAGAGCCAAGACACACAAATGCAGATTAGTGAACTCCAATGTGCTGACTTCTCAAACTCATGGCAATAACCAGCAAGAAACTGCTCCTCTGTCCAGGCTCTGTGCAAGGGGAGCAGGTCCAGGTGCTTTCACCCCTCCTGAGGGATCAGATATCTGAGGGTGGGGCACATCTGCCCTTTGAAATCTCTGTTATATTTTAGTTTTGGGTGCTTGGTCCTGTTCTTATGTAAGAAATCACTTGCACTTCCCTGAAAGACAGAGGGACTGTTGGTGATTTTTTGTAACACTTTCCTTGTGCAGCTCAGCCAGTTTGGGCATGACTTGGCTTTACAAATAGATTGCAGACTGCTGGAGTTCTGGGACTAGAATTCAAGATTCCGATAGAGAGCAAAACCTTAACTGGTGAGGTGGATGCACAGATTACCAACTACATCTCATTGCCATTCAGTCTTTATTTTCAGCTAAAAAAAATTAGAAGGGCACGGTGTGTGGCAAAGTGTCACATTTCCATCCAGGAAACTGCTAAAACTCTTCCTCAATGATTCATTTAACATTTTCCTGTAGTTTGTGGTAGATCATATTATGTACATTAATGTACCATATTACTACTACACTTATTTTGAAACAAAATCTTGTTGCATTGTGTCCATTCACCCCTTAGAATTTGGTTTTGTTCCCTCCTTGCTGGAGGTTACAATTTAGAATTGTAACTCTTCTCTTAGGTTTGGGACAAATGAGATTTTCAACTATCAAAATGACTTGATAAATAGAATAAAGCCCCTGTATTTCCTGTCCATCCTCTGTTATTGTGGAAAGGGAAGCTGACAGCTTTTTCTGTCAGAATTTCTGTAGGATGCTCTGTGTGCTTTTCTGTCTTTTGTGAGCACGGCTTTGGATGCTGGTTTTGACAATGACGTGCTGCAATTTTGGGTTTGGTGGATACAAATGAGGGCTGGAGCACAGGAGCTGTGCAGCTGCAAAGAAAAGCAGAGGAGGGGGTTCACAACATCTACTGAGATTTGAGGAAATGTTATTATGCATTCTCCCTGCTTAATCTCGACGAGAGCAGATGTGGAAGGGACCTGAAGCAGTCAGAGCGCAGCCCCTGGATGGCTCAGCTCTGTGTGCTGCTCACGCTCAGCCCCTGCTCATCCCAAACACTGCCAGGCAAGGAGGCTCCACAGCATCTCCAGGCAGACTTCAGAGCAACAGCCAGGGAGGCCTGGGATAAAAGATATTGCCAACATCCAGCCTAAATATCCTTTGATCCCCTTTAAGCTGATAACATCCTTTCTGTTCCTCCTGGACATGGAGCACAGCCTGTTTATGTCTGTTCGGTGTGTTGTTGTGCTCCTCTCTGTGATTTTTCCTCTTGCCTGTGCTTTTTCATGAGCTTTGCTCCTTCCAGTGCAGAATCCAAGTATTTCCCTTTGAAGATACTGGGAGCACCTGACAGACTGGGCCTTTCTCCCAGAGCTCTCCCTGTCCACAGGGGCCTTTTCCTTTTGCTGGCAAGGCATTCCATAGAAATTCAGTCCTCCATGGGAATGTTCTGTAGGTGCTTCTTGGTTTTATACAAATTTGATGGACACAAACCCAGCAGCTCTCCCTTTCTACTGCAGAAATCTGCTACCATATATGTAGTTATTTTGGGGGGAAAAAAGGATGTGTTTGTTTCTATGTGTGTCTATGGGAGAAGAGCCAGGGGAGAAATATGTGGCTGTTTTATTAATGGATTTTTATAAATGCTTTTACATTTTGCCTTTTCTTCCCAAGCTTCTGCTTTCTCACTAAATAACCTATAACTGCTCTCCTGGTCAGGGATTCTGCCCTGCCTCAGGTGCTCCAGGGTGGGAAACCAGCACCGTGCAGGAAAACAGGGGAAAAAAAGATGTTCAGTTTAACATAATTCCATTCTGCCCCAAACCAACAAGTACTAGTTCAAACTGTTTCTGTAATAACAAAAAACAAAACAAAAAAAACCCAAAAAGAACAAAAGCCTCTCACTGAGAACAATGTGAAAATTAGCACAGCAGGAGAAAGAAACAAACCAACCAAAATATTGTACCTGTGTTTTGATCAGTAGCTGTGGGGTGTGTGTGGAGCAGGAGCAGATTAAATCAGTGCTCGGTGGGAGTCCTGGGCTCTGTTCTGGCTGGGGCAGCAGTGGCCCATCACTTCTACCAGAGAGAAGAATGCAGTGTCTTTGTAAGGAACAAATCTCCAGCCAAATTCCTTCCTGGTATAATGTAACTGACTGCTGGAAAGTTCAAAAAACCTGCTAATCGTCTTACAGAGAGGGCACTGAGCTCAGGAGCTCCGTATCCAACCCAGCTCCTCCAGAGTCTGATGGGATTTGGAGCTGATACTTGACAGAAAACCATAACCCCCTTTTGCTGTCTCTAAGTGATAATGTCAAGGGAGAGGAATTTTTTTTTCACATTATCCCAAGTGTAAGGTTTTTTTCATTAAGCCATCTTAATTCCACTAGTAAAAATTACACTGTGTTCTTGTCAAGTGGCAAAGTATCTCCTAATGACACTGCCTTTATTTCCAACAGGGGCAAGCAGGTCTGCCTGGAGAGAGGGGCATTAAGGGATTTCCTGTAAGTGCTGCACTTGTGGGTGGGTGCCAGGCTCAGGTGGGGTTGGTGCCTGGCACTGTAGGTGCCCCTGGCTGGCCTGGAGCTGCCTCAGCTCTGCTGGCTCCAGCTCAGACATTTGTTGCACAGACACCCTCACCTTAACGAATCCCTGTGCAAATGAAGCATCCCCTGGTGTCAAGCACAGTGCTGACGTGACCTGGAGGGCATCAGCCCAGCACAGGAGCTGAGCTTTGCCTGCAGATCCCTCTGGCCAGAGCTGGGCACACTCAGCTCTCCCTGGGCCCCAGGAGTTCCTGGCACTGTCAGAGCCCAAAGGTGGGCACAGTTAAACAGCTCAAAGTCCATCAGCTGCTCTCAGCTCCCTCCTGCACCTTGGTCAGCAAAGCTGAGCTGGAAACCCTGTAATGAGATTAAGAGATGTCTCCAAATGATTTTTTGGCAGTATCTGAACAGATGCACAGAGGAGATGTCTGCACTAGCACATATGGCCAGTGGAAACAAACCAATGGTGATGAAGGTTGGCTGACAGAGATCTAGTGGAGAAAATCGGGGGATTTTTGGGTGGCAGCTTCCAGAGAGGTCCCAGAGCCTCTGGGAGGGTTCTCATCTCTCTACCTTGGTTCCACTTCATCATTTCATACAATTCACAGAACCTCTTTTTTGGTCCTTCCTCCCATGCTCACCTCTGCTTTACAAATATCTCAGGGAAGTCCAACAAATTTGAGGAGCCCGAGCCTTTCCACTCTATTTTAGATTGTTAATTTTGTTTTATGTTTAGCTTAGGGTGGTTTCATCTCTCCCTGTCATCTGCTCTTTGGAAAGTGCATGAACTTCATGGCTGGGGGGAAACATGAGACCAGTGTTCACAGCACTTCTTTGTTCAAGAAAAGCTTAATGAGCATCTTCAGAGGCAGAAAGTGATGTGGCTAATTAATGAAAACAGAATGGAGGATTTTTCTGTTCTAAACCAAGATGAAAACATGCATGTCTGGGGGAAAGGAGCAATTTATCTGTGGTTTAGCATACAATGTTGTTCATTGAGAGCCCAATGAGATGTCTGTGGTCTTGCTGGGGCCCTGGCCATGGCAGGTGGCCACTCCTGGACAAGTCCATTTGTGTTAGAAGTGGTGGTGACCTCCTGGGAAGCTGACAGGAGCCAGGGCAAAACTCAGGAGAGCACTTTGGCCCTTGGCATGAAGTGCCAGTCCATGTGTTTTCTGCTGGTGAAATACTTCTTTAATTTGCTCCTTTGGTGGGGAAGGATCCAAGGAGTCCTGGAAGGGTCCTCAGCCACATGTAACCAAGTTTCCCTTTCTTGGTTTTAGGGTGAACCAGGCAAGAAGGGTGAGGAAGGTGACAAAGGCGCTGATGTAAGGATGTGTTTCTACTGTTTTACTTTCCTTTTTATCACTTTGCTGTCCTTCAACCATTTTCCCTTTGTCAGGTGGCTTTGGCGGGGGCGGGGGCAGAGGGTGAGTTCACAGTTTAAAAAGTGGGTTTGAATTTAATGTGTGCCAGAAATCCAGGTCTGTGAGGTTTCTTTGACCAGGTTGTCACCATGTTCTTAGGTTGTTCTGTCACATGGAGCTGGTTGGGAATTGCTGCCCTACTGTCCCTCCCACCTGCTGAGGGACAGACTCCCAGAAGAGATCAAACTGCATGTGCAGAGCTTTGGAGTTCTCACATCTCTGCTCTCAATCCCTGAAATAATTCCCAACATCTCTTTGGCCCTTCAAGCCCACACCTAAGGTGACAAGAACAACAAACTCCAGCCTCAGCGTACATGAGGAGCTCTTTGAATAGGGATTTCTCCTGCACTCCTACTTAGGTCATCTCCTCTTTTACATCTTTTCATTTTTAAACATCCACACTGCAGGATTTGGTGCTATGAAAGCAATGTTATGGACAAGAAGCCTGTTCTACAACACGTTCCAACGTTAGTTTTGTTTTCTTTCTTGCAGGGGGAAGGTGTCCAACAGCTTCGAGAGGCTCTGAAGATTTTAGCTGAGAGGGTATTAATCCTTGAGCACATGATAGGAATTCATGGTAAGCACTGCTAAGGTTTTCTTCTCTAGGGAGCCAGGGGGTCTGTTCAGGCTTGCTGGTTAAACTCCATCCCAGTTTCCTGAGCTCTCTGGTGTCTCCTCAAGCCACATTTTCAAAACTAGGTACCATGACTTAGAGGTGCTTGAGTTCCACCAGCTGCACTACTTCCTCTGGCTTTCCAGTAGCAGGTGAAATGACCCTTACAGTGATTTTTGTTACAGTTCAGGCAGCCAAGTCATGAGCAGCAGCTCAAGCCATGTGGCACAGATCATCCACCAGCTTCCCACAGAGCCACTTGTTCAAGTCTTTAGGCCAGATCATTTAATCCTGTTAACAGCATCTTCCAAGTGACTTGAACACCACTGAGGCCCTTGCCAAAGCCCAGACAGCACTGCCATGTCACCCTGAAAATCGGTGATTCCTGAACATTTTGTGATCATAACTTACATGAAACCTATTTTCACAGTCAGATTTAATGGAAGTCCCACATGTTATATGTTCAGGTAGATTTTTGTGATCTCTTGAGGCTGTTGGCTTTCCCATCACTGGGATCACTACATCATCCCTTAAAGAATGTCCTCTTCCCTTACCCACAGTGTGATGTTGGTTATTGTCACAGGAGCTGGTTATGGTCAGACTGCTCCTTTTGGTGTAGCTGAGGATCAGTTCTCTCACAGCAGCCAAAACCTGCTGTGCCAGTTTCTCCCTTTTCAGAAACACAGTTGGAGGCAAAATGTTTGGCTGTGCTATCCCAGCCTGTGAGCAGCAAACCTGTTCCTTGGCACTCACCAAGTCCCAGAGCACTTTTCTGTCCTTGACACCTGGAACCTCATTGTGAGCCCACCTCACACCTCCCTCAGATCCTTTAATTGGGATGTGGCCTTTGGATATTGATTTAAGCTGTGGAAATGCTAAACATCTAAAATGCCCAGCAGTCCTGACAATGCCTCACTGCACAAGTGATGATGCACTTCAGGCAGCACCTTGGGATCCCAGCCCTGTCTGGAGCCAGCAGGGCTGGGATGGAACTGTTGCTGGACCCTTCCAGTGCCAGGGCATGGCTGGCCTGGCCTGGAGCCTGCTGTGCTCTGCTTGGTGGCCTCGTGCTCTTGCAGGCCCCAAGTGCTGTTTCCAAAATCAACAGGCAGCAACAGCGTAAGATTTTTGGGAAACCCTGAATCACAACACCATGATTCAACCACACTCACCCTGACCTTACCTCTGCACTAATCCTGCTTCGCTTCACATTCTCATTCCAAGGGTAGAAAAAGATGTTTTTATGCTGCTTTGCTTTGAGCTGGTGGAGGTACCAGGGAGATGCCCACCCAATTTCCTAGGCAGCAGCCCATGCCAGCTGGGATGATCTGCAGGGAGAAGGGAAAGGGGGATTCCCTGGAAGAGTCCATAAGAATAGGGCATTTACAGGACCCAGGGCCTGGGCCTCCTTTGGCTTTTATGTTGTACCTTCATTTATAGTGGTATAAAGCAAAAAGTCAGCTCTTTAGGAATCTTCTGTAGACCCTGGGGCTGGGGTTCACACAGCCTTGCCCCAGCAGAACTGCCTGATTTAGCTGTTTTTCACATTCTGTTTGGAAATACAGCAGCAACAAGGCCTGTGCTGCTGTTATTTTGAAACAGTCATTTCAGCAAACCATTTGTATTGATCTGTTACTGCTTGGGATGGAGATGAGTTATTTACACCCGTGTGTACTTCTATACCAGTGTAACTGCATCAGCAAAAATGGATGGTTTTTAATTGTGCACTGTGGTTAGGTCATATTTAAACACCTATATTTTATGACTTTATGGGTTTTTTTGTAAGTATTGACAACTATATTCTTATTCTGTGCCTTAGAAATAGTTCCATTCTTTCACTTCACACATATTTTAGGCCCTACAAAAATACTGATTAGAAAGGGAACTTGGAAAGTAGGTATTTTCCTAGTGCAGTTATGTTCATCTTTGGGTATATGGTTAAAAAAGCCCCAACAAACATAGAGAAAAAGACATTAAATAACAAAAAATATTTTCCTTGGGCACAGACCTCCCTGGGCTGAAAGGCAGCACAGAATTTTAAATCACCCGGCACCAACTGTCTGGTCATGTTCCCAGTGTAGGTGTTAAGGATTTGACCACAGGTCCTGGGTTAGCCCAGCTTTAAAATCCCACTCAGAAATGCCAATCCCATGCTCTCATTTTCCCAAGAAACTTCCCACTGAGCATGGTTTCCAAAACCACAACCACCCAAGCAACAAAGCAAAACATCCCAGCAAACAAACTTCTCTGCACTGGAAGGGCAGCTGGAGCTGACCTGGCCTGGAAGCTGCAGAGAGCAGCAGCAGGACACAGCAAATTCCAGATTGTTTGGCAGGGTTTGGTGCCAGCAGACAGAGCCCAAATCCTCTGGCAGCCAAAAGCTCACTGGAAACAGAAATGCTGCCTCGTGGGATCCAGCCGAGGCTGGCACGTTGGGCTCCTGGCAGGGAAACACAAACATCCAGCTCTGGAGGCAGAAGGAAGAAGAAATTGGGGCATTGGAAATGATGAGACAGATAAGTCACCAGCATCTGTTGCTGAAGAGTGTCCCAGAGCAGTGAATATTGAATTTGTTTAGCTGAGGGAAGAGCAGGAGGTTGTTACCTGGAGACACTGTGGGAGCAGGGACAGCCACCACCTATTCCCAGCTGATTTGGCTGCAGCCCAGGGTGGGTCAATCCTTCCATTCCATCCTTTCAGTGCCTCCAAATGTCCTTTACTAGGAGTCAAATGGTACTTAAACCCTAAGAGCATCACTGCCCACTGCCCACCAGCTCATCCTGCAGTACCAGGAGTCTCTGGGCAGTGCTGAATAGCTGCTGCAGCCCAAGTAAATTTATAATTAATAAAAGAACAACACTTTAGAAATGAAACTTCAAAGGAGAGCAGGCCCTGCTGTAGGAGCACTTACCCCAGAGAATTCAGGCAGAGCAGAGGGAAAACATCTAATGCAGGAGCAGAGTGATGGCAGCAGACCTGTATCTCCAGTGCTGCTTCCTGCATGGAGAGCAAGCAGGAGGGAGCACACTGCTCCCAGAGGAGGAACACTCGGAGGGGCCCATGAGTGTCTTCCTCAGCCTCCCCTTTTAAATAGTGCTCTCCCGTGACTTTCTCTCCTTACAGACTCTTTGTCTTCCATTGAGCCAGGCTCTGGACAGGATGTGATCCCGGGCTCCCCCCTGAGAACCAGCATCAAGATCAAGCGAGGAGGACCCCGGCAGCCCCAGGCCCACCAGATCCTCTCTTCACTGCTGGATGACGGTGAAGGCAGAAGGAGAAGCCACCGGATGAAGTAGGAGCATCTCTGTGTCCTCCCTGCCTGTTCTCCAGTTAAAGATACAGTACCCAGTGCTTAATTGCACCCTGCAGATGAAGTGGGTGAGAGGCTGCAGTGTTGGTGGCTCAATACCGAGCTCTGATTGCAGGGAATAACTTATCCATAGCTCAGAGAGGGTTTTGGGAATGTTCTCCTGGATTTTGTTGTTTTGCCTTTGCAATAGGAGTTGTCAGGTGTCTCAGAGGCTGCCTGCAGAAATGGCATCTCCTGGCTGTGCCTCGAGGGTTTAACCCTGCCCTTGACAGTCACTCAGTAAAGCTCTGCTTAACTGGCCAAGATTATCCTCATCCCACCCAGACCCAAAGCCGAGCCTCAGCCTTGTCCATTGCTGTAGTTGGAGGCCTCTGTTTTTATTTCCTGTGTTGGTGTCACACTGACTTCCAGGTGCAACTTCCACAGGCCATGAAAGCACATCCTGCAAGGATTTATTTTAAACAAAGAACTAATCAGAATACAAAGTACATTTAAAAGTATGACTGAAAATTCAGGTGGCTCTCTGGACTTCAGCAACAAAATCCTGTCTTTTCATGTTGCTAATTGCATGTGAATGACATTATTTCTATTTGTGGTTGGCTAAAAAGTACTTTTGATGCAAATGTTCATGGCAACATTGGCTTTCTGTCTATCTTCTGGGAGTTTAGAATGTTTCTGTGAAAACACAGAGCAGTTTGCATGAGATATGATGGAATTGTGCAAGAATTTTCCCATACTGTGTTCAGCTTGTGCATACATCCAGAGATAATTAATTTAAGTGGTGGCAGTAACTATTCACAGAAAAGGATATTTTGCAATAGTTTCTTAATCCTACAGCAATCAGGAAAAATGTTTTCACTGTGTTTTGTTTTAATCTTGTGAGTAAATCCTCGCCATTTGGATCTGGAGATAGTGTAGTAGCAAACCACAGCCTAGGGAATTAGAGACTTGTCAAGAGCTTATTTGCACTGGGAGTTAAATACAGAGTCATTTTACTTTTTGCAATAACTCATTATTTTAGGGGAAGTGCCAGCTTCCAGGTTAAGGAAGTGGAACCTGTCCTTCAGTGACAAATGAATCACTCCACCTGCTGTGCTAACCAGGTCGGACAAGTTGATGTCATTCACGTAGACAGTGATTTTTGTTAGAAGGGGAAGATTAATCAACTAAACTTACTGGACTATTTTTTACTTTTTAGTTCTTTTTATTCTTTTAATTACTTTTAATTCCCAGTTTTCAAATCCAGCCCAGGACAAAAGTGAGCAAACTGAGTTGTGTTATTGCCCCTCTGGTTCCAGGAGGACACAGCTGTGTGAGCGGGCTGGGCTGCACTGCTGCAGGCTTCTGTCAGAGGCTTTCCAAGGAAAACACTCTACAGTCCCTGTGTTCAGCACCCCAAGTGATCTTCCCAAGGCAAAGCCTGCTGGAAATGAGGCTAAAAATGGAGGAGCTCTGCCAACCCAGCATTAGCCACACCTTAAATTGATTGTCCATATACACTGTAAACATGGCAGTGCTGCCAAGAGACACATCCAACCCCAATCCTTCCTCTGAAGAGCCTGGCATCAAAATGAGCAGGTTACAGGCTCCTGCAGGATGGCTGAATCCACCATACCTTCACTTGGCCCAGCTCTTTAGGAATCCAGCAATCCCCAGCCAGGTGAAATGGCATAAGCTGATGCTGAGCAAGCACCAGGACTTTGCTTTTACTGCTGTGCAGCTGAATAACAACCCCTGTGCTGGAGGCAGCAGGGATGCAAGTCCCTGCCCTGCTTTTGCATCCTCACCCTGCTTGGCCAGTGCCAGTGGTGGGGCTCATTCAGCAGAGCCCACCTGGTTCAGGTTGTGCTTCTGAATGATTGAGTTTTCCAAGGGACATTTGCAGAGCTTTGCAGGAGTCTGGGGAGCTGCCTGGCTGCACTCTGAGTTACAGCTGGAGTGTGGTGTAGAGAATCAAGAAAATGAGTAAAACTCAAGTCCAGCAGGTTCCTGAGCTTCAGGAGCCGTCCTGTATTTGCAATCCCTTTGGGAGAAGGAGATAAAGATTCTCTGAGTGCATCTTAGTTTCACACCCAGCACTAACTCTAAACCCAGCATTAACTCTAAGGGTGTCTGTGGTGCTGTAAGATGTCCCTCTTTCCACTACTGGCAGGACAAGAGCTTTGCTTGTGGCCAGCCAAGCAAGCTGCAGCCATGGGAACATCCTTGGGATAATCATTCCATCTAAGAATTAAATGTCAAAAAAAAGGATGTTTCCTCATTTACAGGCTGATTCCTGTGCAGGAATTGAGAAGTACTCGGTTACCTCTGTGGTGAAGTGGGACTATCTTGGTCTAGAGCATCACATGGACATTCCAAGACCTCACTGGTGGCTTCCAGGAGCTAAATCAGGCAGTTGGTGTTGGAAAATCAGGGTTGAAGAGTGAGGAGAAATCTCAGTTCAGTCTAAACTCATGCACTGGGCAGGCTGGTGCCAGCTGTAGTCGAGGCCACAGGAACAATCTGTCCTCATGGCAGCCTTGGGAACCAAACCCAACCAAAGCAATCTTCAAAAAGGGAAATGTGGAAATTCAGTTTCACTGGTCCTGTAGCCACAGGGTTGAATTTGGGGAAGAGGGAACACAATGAGGCAATTTTTACTTCCCTGATATTTCAGAGGCTTCATATTGAACCGAAAGAGAAATCTTTCCTCAAGTTTGTCTTCTGAATTCAAAGCTATTGCATGAGCTCGGTGCTTTAGTCACTCACATTGCTGAGGCATTCATACTGACAAGGATGTGGAATTTTATATTATTTAAAACAAAATACTGACAAGATGAAAGGAAGATTTAATGGAAGTTGTTTGCAATTAATCCTGCCAACTCAATTGTCAAAAGGCTGTTTAGGTTTGGGTTGAGACCACTTTAATTATTGATAGTACGAGCTATGTAATTTTTTCTCCTTGCTTTGTTGAGCTCCATCTCTCTGCTGAGGTACTGTATCTCTAAATGGGGGACAGCAGGATTACACCAGATGGACTTTCTGCTGGGGTTTCATTCCTCTCCACTCACACAGGGCTGGACCACACTTGTGTCTCCCCAGTTTAATTACATTTAAAGGTGAGCACAGCCTCACACACTAACGATATTCATGGCCAAACAAACCACTCCAACCACATTTTCCATCATAGACAGGATCCTGAGGTTCATTTCAGCCAGGGCATATAATGCTTCTTGCCACGTCTATGTAACTTAGGGGATTTATTTTGAATGCGTGCTCATTTAGAAATATATTTTAATTGAAATGTTTAGTGCTTTATCTTATATACATACTGTGCAATACCATAGTGTGTTCTTTTCCTTTTTTGTTTTTTTTTTCTGAGACTTTTTTTAAAATTCTTGATGTTTGTTTGAGCTCCAGTGTGTTTTTGACTTGGATCAGCTCTGGTAGTAGTAGTAGTGTTTTCCTTGCCCTGAGCTAACCAGAAGCAGCACATTGCACAACCAAAACCCTTTGCAAGTCATGCACCCTCATGTTCACCAGCAACCTGGAACTCCTGGGAGGAAGGGAATGCTCCTCTCCAGAGGGTCTAATTTGCACTTACTGTAAGGAATTGATAGCAACCCAGGGAAATAGGAATAAACTAGAGAGAAGAGCCCTCACCTGCTCCCACCAAACTCCACCATCATTTTGTCATCAGCTTCCAAAGGAACAGGCATTAAAAAGCAGATTCAGGCCTGGAGCAGCATGTGTTGGTGCTGAGTGGGCTCTGCTCCAGTGTCTGCCATGAGCTGTTGCCATGTGGGACCCTGAGCACTGGGACAAAGCTTCTAAGGACAATCAGCTTCTGGAATTCCTTTTGCTACAATGATTGGAAACCCATCCTCCTCCACATTTACAGCTTCTGTCTGACTCAAGATAACATTCCACTGGGGGTATAGGGGTTAAACTACTCAGAGTCTCTCTGATTTCTTGGTTTCCTGTGAAACCAGGGATTGAAAGGTGCTATAATTGTTCACAAGGCACATTCCCAGCCACAGAAGGAAATGGTAACTTCTTCACCAGTTATTTTACACAATACATTTTTTATTTATATCAATGTGTTTCATATGTGTGCCAACGGTCCTGGCTTCTTTCCTGAGGATCAGCTTTACAACCATTTGGTCTTTTATAGGGCAGCCATAGGCAGTATCTTGCAATCAATGTGTAATTTCTTAACTTAGAGCAAGAATAAATCTCGTCTGACAGGATGAACTCATTTATGGCAGGCATTAATGTTTGTTGTAAACACAACCTGTTTGTTCCACCTCTTGCATGGTTACTTATCTGTTTTCATATTGCTATGTTATTGTTCAAAATATCTATTTCTCTTTATTTGCTATGGGGTTTGTTACTGTATATGGAATGTTTTGTATTCAGCATTTTCTTACAGAGCAGAGTGGGAACAGTATTCAAGGACCCACAAATACCAAAGACCTTTCATGTAATGCACTGAGAAATAAACTTACTGTAAATGAATATCATGTCAGGTGTCCTCTATTTACGTAGTTCAGAGCAAGTTTAAGCAAACTGCAGCCTGAAATCAGGGCAGCTGCTTCTCCTTCCTGACATCTCAGCCTTCTCTTTAGGAAATCTCCTTTGCAGGGCTCTCAGAAACAAGATGTGAATACAGGCCCTGCTTCTGGGTACCTGCTGTGGGCTGGAGGGGCAAAAATGGCCTAAAAGCAGAGCTGAACTTCCCTGCCCACAGTGGGAGTGACTCCTCTGCAAGTGTTGGATGGAGAGATCTGTCTCCAGGACACACAGAGTCACCTCTGCATTCCCAGCCACCAGATCGAACACAGGGGCTCACCCCAAACCCCATGGGCACATCCCAAACACAGGGACACATCTCAAACCCCATGGGCACATCCCAAACACAGGGACACATCTCAAACCCCATGGGCACATCCCAAACACAGGGGCTCACCCTGCCCTCCTGGGGAGGTGTTTTAGCTCCTCAGGCAG